TATATTGACCGCCAGACTGGTATACGAGGCTCCAGATACCAGTCTCCCAAACCGGTCAATGGACCCAGCAGATCGGTAAATAAGAGGCCATTAAATTGAATGGATACTGTTACATTCATATCAGCCTGGTTAGCTCCGGGGAGCCGAATGGGCTCTCCCCAGAAAAACCCGCCCAAAAGGCACAAAACCCAAGCAGGGGCAAATAGCCCCAGAACTGCTAGCAGGCTCCCCCCCCCCCCCCCCCACAGCTCCAGGAACCCCCAACAGATGCCCCAGGGCAGAGCTGTCTTTCATGCCCTCTACCGGCAGAGGGTGCCGGTCGGCCGAGCGGACAGCATGCGGGGCTTGTGATCCTGTGGTCCTGGGTTCGATCCCAGGCGCCGGCGAGAAACAATGGGCAGAGTTTCTTTCACCCTATGCCCCTGTTACCTAGCAGTAAAATAGGTACCTGGGTGTTAGTCAGCTGTCACGGGCTGCTTCCTGGGGGTGGAGGCCTGGTCGAGGACCGGGCCGCGGGGACACTAAAAAGCCCCGAAATCATCTCAAGATAACCTCAAGATACCCCTGAAGAAAAGGCATAGACCAGAGAAAAGGCAGCAAAGAATGGGGTCTACTGGTAGGACCCAGAAGCCTCGGCAAGAGGAGCAGACTTGAATGCCTCTGTCCTCAACCCGAATGGGGCAGCCCCCAAAGCCACCCGAGTCTCAACAACTAAAAACCACGTCCCGACCCTGAAACCTGAAGACGTTACGGAACCAGGAGCAAGGAGAGGAGACAGGGCAAACAGCACCTAACCAAAAAGGGGCAACCGAGTGGGCAACCAACCTAGTGCATTGCAGCAACCCAAACCTAGCATGCAACATGGATGCCGCCTGTACCCGAATATCAAAGTCATCAGAATGGGTAAGTGGAGAACAAGCAGAGAACAAGACTCGCAAGACTCAGGGTCAAAGGTGTCGTTGAACCAACAGGCAGTATAACGGAGGCAAAGTGGTGACTTTCACCCTGAGACAAAAAGTTTTTGTTTTCCTGCCTTGTGGGCAGGAAAACAAAAACAAAAGAAAAACCCACAAGAGGACAATGTGCCCAGGCAGAACAGAGCCAGCCGCTATGAGAGGTAAAAACTAGCTGCACAGTACCCTGCTCCCCAACCAGTGATGAAATTACCCCCTAACCTGTGGCAAACCGGAGTGCAAGAAACACCCCCAGCTGACTCCAAGGGCTGTCAATCACCGAGCAGCAAAAGATCTTGCAAAGGTAGACCCCAAGGTGACATGTGGAAGGTGGCCCCAAGGGCAGCACTTACAGGGCACCTAGGAAAGGGGACCCTAGGCGCATGCAGCCCGAGTACTTGTGAAATAATTCCACCAATGAGACAACACCACACCACAAGGCACAGAACTGGAAACACAGGAGCCAGAGGTGCACAATCTTGCCATTTCGAATCAGCTACAGAACTGCAGGGTGGACAGCCAGCACAACTTCCCCCTTCAGGGGAGGGGGGGGGGGGGGGTGGCGCAGACAGTGGTACGGCAACGTCATGCTCGTTTGCTCATTTTTCATTTGGGGAGTTCTGTCCACTAGTTTGGCTAGTTGAAGCAACATTTTCACCAGAATAGGGGGTTTGTTTTGGGGCTAATACCTTTCTGGGTGCCTGACTCGGTCGATAGCAGACATGGAATGTTTCCAACCACACGGGGGTTTCTATAGGCCATTGCTCCTTGTACCTTTCTGAGTAGGCCAGGTTCTGGCTCGTGGTCTTTTTTGTGACGAACTTTCACAGATAGCTCAGGGAGCATTTATATGGTTTTGCTCACAAAAATTTATAACAAAAATATTGCAAAACACTTGGAAAACTTGATTTTTGTGGAGCCAGGAGTAGGGTGCAATTCTTACCTACTGAGCTATGTTACACTGCATGCAAAGCATTTATAATTCACATAAAATAATTGCTAGAGAATGCAGACACCTATTCTTCAGATTTGTATGTGCACTACAACCAAGAGAACACTACAATAACTATTGTCAGTCATGAATGTTGATAAGCTGAGCAGTTGAAGCCTGGGTGTTGATAAATTGATTGCACTTTGCAATGAATATAGCAAACCCATGAGCACCACACCAGGGAGGAGCCGGTCGGCCGAGCGGACAGCACGCTGGACTTGTGATCCTGTGGTCCTGGGTTCGATCCCAGGCGCCGGCGAGAAACAATGGGCAGAGTTTCTTTCACCCTATGCCCCTGTTACCTAGCAGTAAAATAGGTACCTGGGTGTTAGTCAGCTGTCACGGGCTGCTTCCTGGGGGTGGAGGCCTGGTCGAGGACCGGGCTGCGGGGACACTAAGCCCCGGAAGCACCTCAAGGTAACCTCAAGGTAAGGTACAAGAACAGTGTGAGTTTAAAGCACAAGGTGGGAAATATGAGGATGAAATTAGGTACTTTTTGGTTTTACTTATGAATAAGGCATCGGTTGGAACATTTTTAATTCATCAGGGAGTGAGTTCCATAGACTGGGCTCTTTTATATTGCATGTTTACATGCTCTATTTATTTGCATATTTGTACTACCCATTCCCCTAATACCAGTACTTACGACTAATTAAAAACTTCATCTCTACCAGTGTAATCACCTCTGCCAGTTTATATTGTTGTTATAAAACCTTGCTACAATATACTTTTTCACCTTACCCGATATGTTAGATTAACCCTTAAAGTGCACATCACGTCATATGACGTGTTGGAAGTTGTTCCAGTCAACTGCGCATCACGTCATATGATGTATCGGAGTACTATGCAAGATTTAAACAGCCTGCGGATACACGGGGTTCACCACACCTTCATCAGGGCTCTTGTAAACAGAGGCCATTTTTTTTAAAAATCGTGGGCCAAACTCCTGGGTGTTATTGGCCTCAGTACTGAGTGAGCTACCAAGCTTGACACAAGCAGCATGAGCTAACAGCACTGCTGTTCAGCTTGTGACCACAGCATCGCCTAAAAATGCCATAATATACTTGTTCATGCTATTATGTAGCGATAATATTATTATAGAAGACCCCTGACTGATAAAACTGACCAGGGTTCTGATAATAGCAGGATTGTGGTGATATTTAGCGCTGTGCGCCATGGAGGGAGGAGTAATGCTGTGGGAGGGAGGGTGGTGGCGATGTCTTTTGACTGTGTGTGGCCACCTTTTATTGACTGCACTCACCATACCAGCTTAGTGGTTCGCTATGGTGAACACAAATGTAGATACTTATATATAACATGTGTATAGAGGGTATAAACAGCAAGAGGAGAAGGTTGGGAGCCGCCATTTTGGTGAGGGCGCTGGCGTCGTCTGCACGACGCCAGCGTGCAGACGATGGTGTTGTTTACTGGTTACCACGATGGTCTTTGGGCACCATACCAGTTTACTTGTACAAGTATGGTGAATAAAACGGGTAGATATTTATATATAATGTGTGTATATAGTGTAATAACACCACAAACAGTATTGTTGGAGGAGAAATATTAGTGCGTCTGGCCTTGAGGGCGGCAGCCATCAGCTGACTGTGTGAGGTCCTACGTCTTTGTGCCTTTACTCACCATACAAGCTTAGATGTACAGGTATGGTGAACAAAACATGTAAATACAACAAAACATGTAAATACTTATATATAACGTCTGTATATAAAAGCAAAAACAGTATGGTGGGTAGAGAATGGTGGTAAGTCAGGTGAGGTGAGGGAGGGAGGGAGTGGCAGCCAGTGGCAGGCTGCCACTGCCTGTCACTGCCACTGCCACTCAGCATACCAACTTAGTGGTTCGTTATGGTGAACACGAATGTAGATACTTATATATAGTGTCTGTATATAGTGAATAAAAGCAAAACCAGTATTGTGGGAGTAGAATGTGGGTGAGTCAGATGACCTGAGGGAGGGAGGAAGTAGCAACCAGTGGTGGGCTGACACTGGCACTGGCACTGCCACTCAGCATGCCAACTTAGTGGTTCGTTATGGTGAACACGAATGTAGATACTTATATATAACGTCTGTATATAGTGAATAAAAGCAAAACCAGTATTGTGGGAGGAGAATGTGGGTGAGTCAGATGACTTGAGGGAGGGCGTGAGTGGCTGGCTGGTACACGGCGGTCACTCCTCGTTACTTTTTGACTCATAATAGCTACTTAGTGGTTTGTTATGGTGAACAAAACATGCAGATACTTATATATAACCTATGTATATAGTGTAATAACCGACAAAGTATTTGTTCACTGACTGATGAACATAATTGAATCAACAATATGCACACCATATTTTTGAGTACAACGATGATTCACTCATTTTATTATATAAATATATCACACTACACACTATTGAATAATATTACAGCAAAAAACTATGAAAAATCAATCAGAGACATTGAAATAATTAGGTAATTATCTCTTTGTGGCAACTCTGGCCTGACAGCTGGCGATCAACAGACCGCCTGGGACGCACGCTGAGTCAGCGCCTATAATTTGCCACACTTCCCCGCCCTATAGCGGGCAATATATGCCACTTACGATTTTTTTATTATTTTTACTGTGATCAGTGAACACAAATTAACAGGTTAGGAAGAAAAAAAATAATTTTTTTTTTTTTTCAAAATTACATGCGCCTGTGGGGAAGAAAGGATATGATACCCCTAGCATGTTAAGGGTTAAGGACCTGCCCAAAATGCTATGCATGTTAGTGGCTTTGCATGAATGTAAAAATATCACCAATATAATCTCACCAGCCCATTGTACTTTCTTGTAAGTAAAATATTATTATTATTATTATAAAGAGCATACAAGGAAGAGACATACTGCAACCTTACAATGAACGGTGTTTACATTTAACTGACCCACCATGAAAACTGTGTGTCATAATTATAATTCATGCAACAATCCTACATATGTGCTACTTGGTGGAATAACTAGAGAGAATGTTTTACTAGAACAAGGTATCAATGACAGATGATGCCCAGTAGAATACTTACTCTGCTTATTTTGTCTTTGAGTTTTTGGTGGTGGATGCTTAAACTGTGTCTTTTCCAGAGCTATGGCAGCAGCAGAGTGTTGGGCCTTCTTGATACTTGGGCCCGACGCAGTGTACTCCTCACTCTCTCCAAGCCTTAATGTTACTGTAAAAGTCTTCTTATGAGCTGGTCCCTTTTCATCAGTCAAACAGTACTGGTGCTGAATCTGACAAAATATAATGTCTCAATGCATGTCTGTAATATCAAATTAAATTTTGTTGCGTTATCACAATATTCAGTGTGGGAAACCAGCATCATTGCTTGGTGACATTAACCCTTTAACTGCACATATCACTATGATATTTGATTGGTGTTGTGCATGTCAATCACAGTGGTTTTTAGGTCTAACCTAAGATTAAGAACACTGAACGGCACAAATTGTATATACGTGATTTTGGTCAGCCTGCCTGCATGGCACACATTATATTTATACATTTTAAAGTACCGCGCAAGATTAAAAAGACCCGCGGCTACACATGGTTCACATCAGCGCTTCCTTGGGGCTATTGTAAACAGACGCCATTTAAAAAAATCGTGGGTAACATTCCCGGGTGTGAGAGCTTTAGTACTGAGTGAACAATCAAGTCTGGCACATGCAGCATGAGCTAACAGCATCGCTTAAAAATGTAAAAATATATTCAGTGGCACCTCGACTTATGACTGCCCCTACTTATGACTTTTTCGAGTTACGACCCCAATTCCGTTGAAAAATGCGACTCGACTTATGACCTTTGTCTCGACTAGCGACTTTGTTGATACACGTATGGGTCGACTGCGCATGTGGTTCCTGGTGGCATGAGCAACCCCGTCTCAGTTCACCAGAGCCGCCTGCTTAGTGATGATCGCGATTGTAAATAATTTAATTGTTTTTGTGCTTTTTTGTTTTTTAAACATGAAAGTAATTATTATACATCATGCCATGGGTCTCAAGAAAGTCAGAGGTAAGATTCAACCAAAGAAAACAAATGTGAGGATGATGGCAGAGAAAAAACAAGAGATCATTCGTAAACATGAAAATGGTGTGTGGGTTGTTGACCTAGCTAGGCAGTACAGCAAATCTCTGTCAACGACATCCACCATACTTGCCAAGAAAAAGGACATCTTGAGTGCTGAAGTGGCAAAAGGCAGATCAATATTCACGAAACATGGAACACAAACACTTGAGAATGTTGAAAAGGTACTATTAATTTGGATACACAACAAGGAGTTAGCTGGTGATAGCATTTCAGAGGCCATCATTTGTGAAAAAGCAAGGCTATTGCATCAAGATCTTATAAAGAAAACCCCTGGAATGAGTGATGCAGATACAAAAGAGTAAGGTGAGCAGGGGATGGTTTGAGAAATTTAGAAAAAGAAATGAGATTGCTGAAATAGAGGGAATACAGAGAACATATACGGCACGCATAGAGGAGATAAAACACCTAAATTATTGGGATCGTCTCAAAGCTCTCCAAATGTACTCTCTTGAAAGGAGACGAGAGAGATACCAAATAATATACACATGGAAAATACTGGAGGGCCAGGTCCCAAATCTACACAGTAAAATAACAACGTACTGGAGTGAACGGTATGGAAGAAAATGCAAGATTGAACCAGTGAAGAGCAGAGGTACCATAGGCACAATCAGAGAGCACTGTATAAACATCAGAGGTCCGCAGTTGTTCAACGTCCTCCCAGCGACTATAAGAAATATTGCCGGAACAACAGTGGACATCTTCAAGAGAAAACTGGACGGTTTTCTAATAGAAGTTCCGGATCAGCCGGGCTGTGGTGGGTATGTGGCCCTGCGGGCCGCTCCAAGCAACAGCCTGGTGGACCAGACTCTCACAAGTCAAGCCTGGCCTCGGGCCGGGCTTAGGGAGTAGAAGAACTCCCAGAACCCCATCAACCAGGTATCAACCAGGTAATGGCATTCATAGTGTTGTGAGAGTTGTGAGTGTTGTGTGTTGGGGGTTGATGGAGGAACACAGGGAAGAACTGACCACCGAAGAACTCCAAGCCCTTCACAAGGAGCAGCAACAGGAGGCAGCTGAGGAAATTTCTTCAGGGGAGGAGGAGGAGGCCGTACAGAATGTCCCTTCCTCAACAATTACAAAGTGATGCGCAGTACAGGAAGAAATGCAATGTTTTGTTGAAACAACTCTCACAAATCAAGCTGCAGTAGGCCGTTTCCTTAACCTAATTATTGACACTGTGATGGCTCACTACAGACAAGTGTTCAGACGTAAGGAAAAAAAATCTCTATGGAATGGTTCTTAGGAAAAAACAAGCAGTGAGCCACAACCAGGTGCTATTGGTATGCAGGCACAACATAGGAGAGATTGTACCCCAGAGAAGTCATAACTGCCTCATGTTATAATGGAAGAGGACTCTCCTTCCAAACGGTAACACCTCTCCTTCTCCTTCCCTCCTCACCGTCTTCCATACGCTAACAAGAGAGTCCTCAATAAAGGTAATATACATATACTGTAGTGTAGCTAGCATAAAATGTATTATTCGTTATGAAATATATTTTTAAGTTTATATTTTTGGGGGTGTGGAACAGATTAATTAATTTTATATTATTTCTTAAGGGATTTTTTTTTTTCAATTTACGAATTTTCAACTTACGACCCGTCCCGGGGAACGGATTAAATTTGTAGGTGGAGGTACCACTGCATATAAATGCTATTATTTAGTCATAATAGTATTGCAGAATACACAAAAGCTTCACTATGATAAAGACTGTATACAATGTTCAGATATAAGGGAACACAATGCTGTTCACAGTGCTACACAAGTAGCTACAGCACACTGCCATTGTTTGGTTCATCTAAGAATCTTGAAATGACTTCTCATGTTCCTTAACAAAAATAAACTTGTGGAAAATTATTCATTTACAGCATTTAGTGAACAGGATTTTGATAATAGCAGGATTGTGGTGAGAAATAGAGATGTGCATAGTATGGTGGGAGGAGGAATCTTGGTGAGGGAGGTGGCATCGTCTGCTGACTGTGTGTGGCGGCCACTATTATTGTTTCTTTGCACTCACCATAACAGCTTATTGATTCATTATGGTGAACAAAAATGTAGATACTTATATATAACTTGTGCATATAGTGTAATAACAGCCTAAGCAGTATGCTGCGAGGAGCCATTTTGGTGAGTGAGGTGGAGTCGTCTGTTGGCTGGTGTCATACAGTGTGTGGTGGCCACTATGCTGTTTGAACACCATACAGCTTAGTTGTACAGTTATGGTTATCTTGAAGTTATCTTGAGATGATTTTGGGGCTTTAGTGTCCCCACGGCCCGGTCCTCGACCAGGCCTCCAACCCCAGGAAGCAGCCCGTGACAGCTGACTAACTCCCGGGTACCTATTTACTGCAAGGTAACAGGGGCATCAGGGTGAAAGAAAATTTGCCCATTGTTTCTCACCAGCGCCTGGGATTGAACCCGGGACCACAGGATCATGTGTACGGTGTTCTGTCTGCTCAGCCACCGGCTCTAAACATGGTAAACAAAGCATGTAGATACTTATATATAATGTGTGTGTATATAGTGAGATAACAGTAAAAATATTTTTGAATTATTTTATGAACTTAATACTTGAATCACAAATATGCACACCATACTTTTGAACATAGCATTGGTTCACATATTTTACTACATAAATATATCAATATATCACATTACATACTATTGAATAATATTACTGAAAAAAAAGAGAAAAAAAAACCAGCGTTGAATGTAATGAAACGCCATTTTCTGGGTGAGTCCCGGAGGCTCCCCGGAGCTATCCCAGGCTGATATGCTAATGTCAGACTTTGGCATCAGTCATGTGTATGGAGTTCTTAGGCCTACCGGGGACCACGGCCAGAACCGGGCCCCCTCAGAGAGGCAAGGGGAGCAATGGCCTATAGAAGCCCCCGTGTAGTTGGAAGCATTCTATGTCTGCCATCGACCGGAACAGGCACCCAGAAAGGTAAGCGCCCCAAAACAAACCCCTATTCTGGTTAAAATTGCTACCTAAAACCGAACTAGTGGATAGAACTCCCCAACCGAAAACAAGCAAACTAGTGTGACGTCACACACTGCCGCGCCGCTGTCTGCGCAGCTCCCCCCTCCCCGGGAGGGAGAAGGGGGAGCCCCAGACCCCCCGCGCCGGCTACCCACACCTCAGTTCTTGAGGCTGGATGTCAAAAATGCGAAAAACCGCCGACCGGAGGGAGGGAGGGATGCCGGGGAGCCTCCGGGACTCACCCAGAAAATGGCGTTTCATTACATTCAACGCTGGTTTTCTGGGGGGAGCCCCGTCGGCTCCCCGGAGCTAACTACCCACAGACAGAAAAAGAGGGACTTACCCGGGAGGCGGTCGTCGCTCACCCCTCAACTCGAAGCCGAGACAACTGGCTGCAACCGCCGACCCAAAGCAACACAGGCCCGACGAGGCCCAGGGACATTCACAAGGTAACGAGCAGCCAGGACCCTGTTCGACCGCCAAAATCCCCGCGCCCGAATATCAGACCAAGACATATTCCCAAAGACGGCAGCAAGAGCCGCGAACTTACGAATGTCATGGGCACGGGGATAGACCGCAGGCTGGCTGGACCTAATAACCCTGCGGACGACCTGAGAGACCCGAACCCGCGAACAGGGAAGAAGGGAAACCGGATCAACCCACAGCGCGTCCCCGGACACAGAAGCTGTGGCGCGCAAATAACGGCGAAGCGCCGCAACCGGACACAAAACATGATGCACCCCCGGCCTGACCAACCAAGCATCAACCACCCATGGACCCCTCCGGAACGCAGCAGTCTCATTCTTTGCCAGAAAAGAAGGAGACGGCTGCAAACGAACAAAACTATCACCACGACCAAAAGAGCAGAAACCCCTGCGCCAGAGGAGAGCATGAAGCTTCCCTACCCGACCCCCAGAGGCCAAAGCCAACAAGAAAAGTGCCTTGGAAAAACAATCCTGGACCGAAGGGGCCACAACGAAACGAGGAGATGAAAGGAAAGCGAGCACTCTGTCCAAAGACCAGGACGGCTCAGGCGACGCATGAGCAGGCCGGAGGTGAAACAATGCACGAGACAGCTTGCGAAACGGCGCAGACGTAACAGCGATACCGAAAGCAAGCTGAAGCGGCTCCGCCAGCGCCGCACGATACGAAGCGACAGTGTTAGGCAT